TTTTTTTCTTTCCTCTACCAATTAAACAAGTTCGAGAAAGTAGAAATAAAAACGCCATTAAACCGCAAAACAAAACATAATAGCAACGAAAATAAAATAAAAATACAGAGGATTTACCACTATGTTTTATTTTATTTTATTTTTTTTTTTTTTCGACTTACCTCATTCTACAAAGTAGTTTAACAACATAAATTGGAATAATTCAATTGAACCAAAGCATTTCCACAAGATCCCAACAAGGAACAATTTCCATTTGCAGAGGTAAAAGGATGTGAGAGTCGTGTCACCGTACCACGTAATAATACTTCACTATCATTAGATATTGGAAAAGTCACATCTTCTATTGGAAGTGAACGTAATGGTCCATGTGGAGTATCTTTAGCCCCTTGGATCTCTGGAAATTGTAAAATCTCTCCAACATTACAACGTGGGGAAAAACTACTATCTTCTCCAGAGGAAAGTTCTATAGTACTATCATTTTCTTTAAGCGTATCAAGAGTATACAAGGTACCAGCAAAACCTCCAGTACACATTTCATGAGTATTTAAAAATCTAACATTAAATTGTTCTAATATCTCTCCTTGGAAATATTGTTCAATATCTTGTCGTAAATGTGGATAAAGTTCCCATCGACGCACAACATCATATTCATCATCATGACCTACCATAGATGGAGTTAATCCTCTAGTTTGAGAATAGGGTGTGGTACGACGAATATCCCATAAACAAACACTCATCATATCACGTCCAGCTATATACCTTCCACAAGGGCTAAGTGCACAATCAGATAAACTAGAAGAAATTACAATATCTTCTTCAGAAAGTGTATTTCTAAACACTAATGGAGTTTGATAAAGCCATTTAAGAGTTTGACGGGTATCTACAATACGAACATTTCCTGATGTTGTTAAAACAAATAAGAGAAATGGTTCATGTTGAAAAGTTCGAATACCACAAATAACTTCCTGGGCATCTTCTTCAAGAGGTGGTTTAAGACTATAGGTCTCAATAGAAGTATCAGGATATTCAACACACCAAAGTTTTACAGTAAGTTCATCTGCAGAAAAAAACTGTGCACTATCAGCTAAAGGGCATAATGAATTAATATTATATTCATGATTTAAAGCATAACGTGAAACTTGTTTCATAGCACATGTCGTTGTACCACGAAGTGGATTTAAAGTTAATGAACCAACAGTTTTTTCTCCAAGTCTATCAACAGCAAAAAAAGGTGCAGGAGATTCTCTTACTTGTACAACTTTATACAATTTTGGCATTTTTTCATTTGCTGTCAGTACATAAGTAGTTGGTCCAGCTTCTGGAAGGAAACAAAGAGCTTGAATACTAGGTGTTACTTCAACACTATTTAAAGGATCAATAACGGATGTATACGCTTGTCTACCCACTGCAAAATTATATGGTTCATGTACACGAACAGTAGAATTATCTACCCTACGTGAGTTTTTAGATTCCCTTTTTATATGATCATTATCATTATTAACATCATCATCATCATGTTCATGTTCCATCTGTTCCCCACGACGCATCACAAAAACACGACCGCAACGATCACCAATCGCAACATGTTCACCTGAAGTACTTGTGGCAAGAGCTGATATGTTCGTTGAAGGAAATCTACAAGCCTCACGCTGAGCAGCCGGAACATGTCGCCATTGTTTTCCTGTTACATATACTTCCCTCAACATCAGTTTATCACAGTATTCTACATGTGGGTCGTCCACTTCAGAATGTATTGGTAGTAAAGAAGTTCCCCCACTAACTTTTCTACTATCATCATTAACACTACTATTTCCTGTTGTTGTTGTTGTTGTTGTTGCTCTTCGCAGTGGTGGAGGTGGTGGTGGAGCAGCACAAGCTCGGAGTAATGATGCCGAGGCTTGACGTACATGTTGGTGATTAAGAAGTGTTGCTCGTGGGGAGAGTCGACGCAGCGCCCGTTCCCGCCGCTCCGATGCTCTTGTGATGGTTGGCATCGATGGTGAGGCGGTGGAGCGTGCGAAGCCCTCGAGCGACGGTCCGCGTCTCTGCGCCGGGGAGCTCTCGAGTTCTCTTTCTCTCTCTTTATCTCTGCGGCCCTCGAGCATCGGCCCGGCGCTGCTGGCGACGCTGGCGCTGCGGGAGTGGGCGGGGCGGGGGGAAAAACAGCCGGGGACGCCGTCCTCCACGCGGGGACCCGACGCCCCGGTCGAGCGCCGTCCAAGCGCGGAGTCCAGATTGAGGCCAGGAATCATCATCGTGATTATACACTCTATCTATACTAGAGAATAATAATAATAATAATAATAATAATAATAATAATAATAATAATAATAATAATAATAATAATAATAAGTGTGAATAGGGTTTTTTTTTTGTTGACTTCCCTGGGGGATTGAATGAGCCACCCGTCTAACTAACCAACAGTAGAGGTCTAAGGATAATGTGATAATGCTAAACAAATGATGGTGTCAGACCTTACTTTAAAGCACCAGAGTAATAATGAGTAACAATAACAACAGGAAAGAATAAAGCACTAATAAATAATAATAATAATAATAATCAACAAAGGTTTACTGTCTCACGAGTTTTAACCACTCTCTCTCTTTGTTTCTTGACCAAAGTAATATTGATCATTTCCACCTCCAATTGGAGAAAAATACACAAACACACGAACCAACAAACAACAACAACAAAGAAAAAAAAAACACTCACCGTCAGCAAATAGGCATAAACAGAACAAGACCACCACCACCACCACCACCACCACGACAACAACAACAATAACTACAAAAATTAAGTACGTCTTTCAACTGGCTCTCAAAAATAAAAACAACAGATTCTTGTTTTTTTTCTTATCCTTTAACTTCGCATTTCCTTTGCATTCTTTACTACTTCTTCGTATGAATACTCAAATTTCTTTCTAAATGACATGTCCTGGAAATCATAACGTTGCCGATCACCCTTGTTGTACATCCTATGGCTTACCCATTCTATAGGACATTGCACACGTCGTGCCTGCAAGTCTCTCCACCAATACGCATCTCTATACTCTGGGGGAACAGGAATATGATAGAAACTTTGATCCGGAACTAAATGTGCACGTTCATCCCAATGCGGGTCATAACGTTCCTCCCATGTCTCTGGATCAATACGACGATTGGAATGTACAAGTTTACGTGGATCATACATTGGCAAAGGATCCCAATTGTAACGATGCATGGCTTTTTTCTGTAGCATACGTTTAAGCTGATGTGTGAACATACCCTGTCCTTGTTTGAAAATAACAGGATTTTTACGCCATGGAACGGTTATTCGGAGCATAATAATGATATTACTAACAATAATATAAAAGTAATATATATAAAAGAGTCTCCTTACACGAGTTATTGCTTACTCCCCTCTCTCCTGCAAAGTTAGTGAAATAAGAAAGAATGTATGAGAATTTTTCTTTTTTTTTCACCTCTTTGACTAAGTTATAGCACTATTCTCTCTTTGGGAGTAATAGGATCCGTGTAATGTATATGTATGAGTATATTTACAAAATACACCAGAAATAAATCAAAGAAGAAAGAAAGAAAAAAGAAGAATAGTAAAGAAAAAAGGGCAACAAACCAAAAAGAAAAGAAAAAAAAAAAAACAAATTACAGAAAATAATTTTAAAGAGGTGAAATGTGCATTATTTCTTTTTTTTTCTTTTTGAATTTTCCTTACTTCAAACACTCCTGTAAAAGAAGACGTATAAGAAGAAAGGAAATATAATAACACGTCGTGCAAATATGCAAGTAGAAAATCAAAAAAAAAAAAAAAAAAAAAAAAACGTGTTCTATGTTGCGTTTGCGTCTTGAGAAAGAGGCAAATAGTGGCATTTACTCCCATCTCCTCTCCCAAACTAAGGGAAAGGGTAGGAATAGAAAAAGGGCACAAGGTAACTAGGAAGAAACCTCCCAAGAAAAAAAAGAGAAAGAGAGAGAGAGAGAGAAAAAAAAAAAAGAAGAAAACGCCAAATATAAACGGGTTGTACACCGTTTATGATCCTTCTTCTTTTTTTTTCTTTTTCATCTCGCTGTTGTTGTTCATTCCGCCGGATGAACAATCTTCTCTTTACACATGTATACCCCTTACCATAATTAACCTTAAACGATTTCTCAAGATCATCAACCTCCTCTATAAATTATGCTCTTTTGGCTTCCTTTTGCAGAGGGGTGGAGGGAATAACTGCAGGGAGGAAAAGCCCAGATATATGGTAACAGAAAAGAATCAAAGAAAAAAAAAGGATAAAAAGAAAAAAAAAAAACACAAAAAAAGCGAATAGAAATACAAAGACTTTTGTATTATTTCTCCCCTTCCGCTCAGTTAGATATTCCCCCATTCCCGTTTCCCCTTTAAGAAGAGTATGTCTATAATAAATGTAATGCTATTGTTACCTTGATTCTTTTTTTTTTTCTTTTTCATGGTTTTCGTTAAAAAGGCATCAGCAGCAGTATTGCAGAAACGCGACAAGAATGAATACCAATCCTTCATTGGACATCATTATATCATTACCAAAAAAAAAAAAAAAATGGCATAAACCTCGAATCCATCATAATGATATCCTTTTTCCTTTCTTTCTTTCTTATTCCATTCTCTTTTTTTTTTGTTTGTTTGTTTGTTTGACTTTGACAACGCCTCTATCGGCGGCTCTTTTTTGATTTGGTAACCTTCTGCATTTTACGCTGTTGTTGTTGTTGTTGTCCCTTGTTCACGTGCTGTTCAAAGTGAAGTACTTCTCCACCTGCGCGGTTAGCGTGACTTGAAACTGGCCTATTAGACAATGGCGCAATAACTACAGGTTTGCGAGGAGATGTAGGAGTTGATTTTGTAACGGATAAGGTTGCGGATGTATGTGGTTTCTTTTTAGAAACAGTAGTAGTAGTAGTAGTAGAAGAAGAAGAAGGGTTGACATTTTGACTTGCGTACATTTTTTCATCTAATGATGTTTGCATCATTCGCTGCTTTACAGCATCCCGTAACTCTAGTAACTGTTGTAGTTTTTTCTGTAATTCCACAAGTGATGTAGCAATAGTTTCAGCATTTTCACCTCCTTTTGAGGCGATACCATCTTCAAGAAATTTAATCTCTTCAAGCATTTTTTCCATCTGAGATGTTAATTGTCTTAACTCCTGTTGATCACCTTGAAGTGATTTAATAAGATCTTCACGGGTATCATTGTCATCAGAATTACAATCGTTATCCAGAGAACTTTCAGCGGAAATACCACTATTGACATTTTCACTTTCCAATTGTTTGTTGTTCTTTTTATTATACTCTGCTTCTTCCATTGTCTGGTTCTCTTCTTCTTCCTCTTCCAAATCCATAGCAGAATTATCATCATTACTTTCATCATCTGCATATTTACCGAGTCGTGAGTTATATGTATTTGCATCATCAGTAATATTATCATTCTTCTTCATGATATTAGTTATTTCCTCTTCATTTTTTGCTTCCACATGTTCATCTTCTGCCAAAGCTTCTGCAAGACTCAAAGAAGGTGGTATATGTAAACCTCCAGTATTTGTTTGTTGTCCTAATCGACGTAATCGGTCCTGTTCCATTCTTAGCTTGTTGATTTCACGTCTACCGTTAATAATTCCCTGTTCAAGTTTTGTTATTACAGGACGTTCAGTTGCATGTTGTAACCTCTTTTCCATAAGTTCAATTTGGAAACGAATAGCACTGATTTTTTCCTGAAGATCATTAGAGTTTGTACCTCTTTCCTTCTCTAATAGAGCTTTTTCTTCTTTACGAATTCTGTCACGTTCTGCCGTCCATGACTCTTTCCGTCGTACAACATTAATAAAATCTTCAAGTTCCTCCAAGTCTGCTCGTGATACGGCTAATACAGCCATTAAGGTCATATCATCTTCATCTCCCTCGTTTTCCATTTGTCGTTCAAGTTCTGCAATTTCTTTACGAAGTCGTTCAGCCGCTAAACATAATCCATCATATTGCTCTGGTGTACAACTTGGTTCAGATGAGAAAGAGGAAGTTGTACCAGTTGAAGAAGAAGAAGAAGAAGAAGAAGTGGATGAAGACGTTACAGACACAGTTGGCATTTCTTGTTTAGACATAACCCTAGATCCATTGTTCACTGTTGTCATTATTGGTTCCGGTGATGCCGCAGCAACAGAAGAGGTTGTTTTTGTTGTTGGCATATCATATTCAATAGATGTCTCATTATCTGTTTCTTTACTCCATATTTTTGATTTGGCCTCTTGTAGATTGCGTTGTAACTCTTCCTGTGCTTTTAGAGTGGCTTGTTCAAGTTGTTTTTGACGTTCCAATGCGAGTTCCGCTTCCCGTTGTGCCTGTTGAGCCTCTTCACGTTGTTTGTTGAGAAGTTTCATACGTTCCTCATGTTTGTTTAATAATTCCTGTTCCAGAGCACGTGCTCTTGCTTCTGCTTCTTCTCGTCTCCTTTTTTTTTCGGCTTCTTCCTTCCGCTGTATTTCCAATCGTTGTCGTTCTGCTTCCGCTTCTGCTTCTGCTTCTGTTTCCTTTGTTTCTCGCTCAGAGACGGAAATTATGGTAGACTCTATTTTATGTAAAGCACTAAGAGCCTCTTCCATCCTTCGAAGAAGAGCATTCTCCTCATTACGGCGTTTTTCTTGTAGAGACTCAATCTCTTGTCTTAACATTAAAGCCGCCGAAGATAACGTTTCAATTTCTTTTGAAGATGGTATAGAAGATTGTTGTGATGGTTGATTAAACTTATTTTTCACTTCAAACTTCTCATCTATTGATTTCTTCTTTATTATGTTTTCTTCGGCGGCATTACTGTTTTTTGTTCTTTCATCCTTTTTTGTTTCAGAATGTAATGATGTGGTAAACGGAATGGAGTCATGATTTTTCTTTATTTCTTCTTCTTTTTCTTTTTCTCCTGTTACAAAAGAAGAGGTATGTGATCCTATCGAAGGACCTTCTTTTTCCATATGCCGTAATTTCCTCATTTTTTCAAGTTGTTCTCGCAGTCGCGGTAATTCTTTCTGAATTTGGGCTAGTTTCCCTTGTAATTCACTAGCATGATCTATACTATCGGTACTTAGTAATCGACGACGCATTTGAGAAGCTTCAACTTTTTTTTTATGGTATGCATTAGCAAGAGCTTCATATTTTTCTGGTGTATATGTACAATGACTTTCATCAAATGGATTACTGTTAACTTTTGTGGGGGTATGCACTTTAACATTATCTTCTATAACGGTACTTTTCGGTCTTCCAAGTGAAAAAGTCTTAATACATCGACCTGAAGGATGAGATGCTTGACGCAGGGAAGGAACTACACTAATACCGTGTTGTAACTTTGTTTCCTCATCCCCATCCACACTCTCTGCTTCACGTTGAATACGTTCAAACGTTCCTTGCACAGTATCCTTCTCAAGTGTTTGTGTTTTTCGTGATTTGGCAGGTTTCGATAAGGCTGGTGTTCCCATCAGTCGAATAGACTCTGTAATAGAAGGTTCTGTACCTTCTGTTAACTTACGGCGAATAAGAAGTTTTGAAACGGAAATAGGACGTTGTTCAGCAATCTTAACAGGATCTTCAATCGGTAAAGCCTTTGGTTTGTCATCTCCCGCACTGAGTTCTAGTTCTGCCAACTCAATAAAGTCTTCAAACTTTGAAAAGTATAAAAGACAGTCACGGTCTGACATAACTTCTTGACTCCAACCAAAACGCATCATAACAATCTTAACAGGCTCCCATGAAAGATGAATGCTTTCATAGCGTCGACGGAGAAAATCTTCAGCTGACCAATCTAAAATAACATCAGTATCAGGAGAATGGTAAATTTGAAGACGATGACATGCTTTTAAATCAGAAAGTGAACGTTTTAATATTTTAGGATAAAGAAATGGTGCTGTAAGCCTTAGTTGGGATGTGGTAAATGGATAATCAGTGAGTTGTAGTAATGGGCGAAGACAAAGATTTACAGCATCTATATTATAACGACCAGACGCTTTTATTTGCTGACGTTGACGTAGAGCATTTTTTTCCATACGACGCAAAAGATCATTAAAGAAAGGATGATTTTTCAGATTCTTTAATTCATCATTTCCATTCTCTTGATTTACCAAAACTTCATCTTCAACATCATCAGCATTACGATCAAGCTCAGTTTTCGCTTCTTCCACTCTGATATTATTACCGCTACCGACACTACCTTCACTGTGAGCGACATCTAATCCCTTTTTCTTGTACTCATGAATTTCATCCACATTGACGTTTATGTTATCATGGTTAATCGTCTTCTCTACAGCTTCATAATCATGATGGTGATCATTATTATTGAGAGTTTTAGATTTCGGAACTTGTTGACGCTGAGAGTTTACATTAAGCATATGTTTTTGCTTTACTTGCTGGGCGGTAACAATATTGTTCATTTCACTAGAATCATATATTTTAGTAACATCATCATCATCATCATCATCATCATCATTATTATTATTATTATTATTATTATTATTATTGTTATTATTTTCATCCTCCTCTGCTGCTGCTGATGCTGTCCTTCCATTAAACTTGGCAGGATTCTTTGAAGAGAATGAGGTTGTTAGAACCACCGTCTGACGCTTGGGTCGTACAAGAGCTTCATACCTTCTTTTAATATTAGGAGGGGCACGCATTTCTTCTTCTTCTTCTTCCAGTAATTTATTTTTTTCTCCAAATCCTTGATATCTTTCTTCCATTGTAACTTCCGTATCATCTATATCATGCTCCTGAGCATCAGGAAAGAGCAACTCTGGCTTTTCCATCATTCCAGATGATAATTTCCGTGTGTTGTTGTTATTATTGTTGTTTAAAGACAACCGTGTATTACCGCTCTTCACTGTTTTACCATTTATTTTGGTTTCATATGTGATGCCATCACGTTTCCGTTCTCTACTCTGATTATAGAACCCCGAATCACCTCCCGCAACGTAGAAGCGTGTTGTACAACTTAATACCCATGGTAACTGTATCGCATTTGCTCGAAGAGCACGACGCATCATAATTCAAAAATGATTCGTTTTTTTTTTCTTTTTAATCTATTTTCTATGGTGTCAACTTCCCGAAAAGCTGTCTTTCTTGTTCTTTTCTTTTTTTTTATTTTTTATGCTACCGCCTCCTTGGTGAATGTGAACAGCCTTTTCTACCTTTGTTTTTTTTTTTTTTTTTTGTTACTGATAAAGAACAAATCTGCTGTGCACCTACACACCCTTCCCTTGCTCAGCTTCTAATAGAGTGGTTAGTGGTAAATCAAGAAACGCAAAAAAAAAATAAATAAATAAATAAATAAATAAATAATAATTTATATGTATATAAAACTGGTTGTCAAGAAAATTTTGTTACCATAAGATCGTATACCTTGAGTTTTTTAGCTGATATATATACTCTCTTTCTGCATAAAGGGATTTTGTAGACCTAGACTACGTATATATATATATATATATATATATCAGATCATTGTGAAAAACTTTACATTTTTTTCTATTCCCTCTGTTTCCTTCACAGTTTTCGTTAGCACTAGGGCTAGTCATTACAAAACAGTCATAAATGGTTACTCCGTTGCAAGTACATCAGCAAATTCCTCGTAATAAATACGACCATTTTCAGGGTCAGCGGCGGCAACTATGAATTCTTCTACTTCTTCCTCAGTAAATGGTTCGGCTCCACTGCGGAGGAAATGACGAATTTCATCAGCTTCTAAAAAACCACGATTATGAACATCTAAAACAGAAAAAGCCCTATATATAGTATCTTCACTATCACGAACTACAGATATTGGTGGTGGTACCGTCTTAGAAGCCCCAGGACCTTTTTTACCAGACTGAGTGCCCAAAATTCCAGTCATGAGAGCCTCTACTATTATTTCTTTTAATAAACTTGCAGATACAGAACCACGAGATGCACCTTCTTTTTCTTCTATCATTTCCACTAGGCGTAGCACTTCTCCATTAGACAGATTAAGACCCATCGCACGGGCAATATATCCAACTAGCAAAGTTGGAACTTCATTTATTTCAGAAGAGTTAATAGTACTAAGTCCACGATCTGCCTCTCGAGTTGCCTCAAGAAACTCTTCAAAGCGTTTCGTATATCTTAATCGACGAGACCTATCTTGTACTGAAACTAAGAGATGCTTTCCTCCAAGAGTTATACTTCCATTCTCAGCATTATCACCTTTCCTACCTCGTTTGGGTTTGGACATGGATACCTTTTGTACTCTATCTCTTCAATTTCCATTACCATACGAAAAAATCAAGAGTAAAAAAGAAATAAATAAATAAATAAATAAATAAATAAATAATAATAATAATAATAATAATAATAATAATAATAATAATAAT